TCTCTCTCTCTCTCTCTCTCTCTCTCTCTCTCTCTCTCTCTCTCTCTCTCTCTCTCTCTCTCTCTCTCTCTCTCTCTCTCTCTCTCTCTCTCTCTCTCTCTCTCTCTCTCTTTCTCCTCTCCTTCTGCCCTAGTTATTTCTCATTCTATTTCTTTTTTCCTTCGTTCCTCTCCGTTATTTTTTTATTCTCTCTCTCTCGCGCTTCTCTCCTGTCCTAGTTATTTCTCATTCTGTTTCTTCTCTCCTTCGTTCCTTCCCGTTACTCTCTCTCTCTCTCTCTCTCTCTCTCTCTTTCCCTCCCTTTCTCTCACCTACGCACCCAAACAAAAATACACCAAGGAAAACAAATAAAACACCCCCGTGAAAGTTGAAGAATAAAAATAAAAAGATAAATAAAAAAAGAAAAAGAAAAAAGAAGAAAAATCAACCCCAAGGAGGGGCACATAAATCACCCGTCCTTGTTCTTCACTAAGATCTGTAGACCTGAGAATTTCTCTGAGAAAACCCACGACAATTACTCTTAAAAACAGCCGCTGCTTTCACTGCCTTTCGGTGATTGTGTTCGTCAGCTAAAAGTTTCTTCGCGGAAGTATTTGTCATAGGGAGTTAGGAACGATGCATCAGCTGTAAATGGGAAGGGGGAGCCTGAGGTGATACGGTACATACACAGATATATATACTCGTGCGCACACACACACACACACACCACACACACACACACACACACACACACACACACACACACACACACACAACACACACACACACACACACACACACATATATATATATATACAGAGTAGAGAGAGAGAGAGAGAGAGAGAGAGAGAGAGAGAGAGAGAGAGAGAGAGAGAGAGAGAGAGAGAGAGAGAGAGAGAGAGAGAGAGAGAGAGAGAGAGAGAGAGAGAGAGAGAGATTAGAGAGAGAATTAGACAAAAAGAGACTGACAACTATTTGAGTAGATATAAATACAAATAGATAGATACCTACACGGATATATAAAGCGACAGACAGACATATTAATAAATATATAAAAATAAAGACATCCGTGAATAGACAGACAATTCGAAAGATGAATAGATAAGCCAACAAATAGAAACACAGATTCAAAAGAAGGAAAGATAGATAGATGGGAATATAGGTGATAGACAGACAAACAAAAAAAGTGAAATGATGAAATGAATCTCAAATCGCAATATGACATGAGCTGAGCAAGAGAAAGAGTTATGTAACAAGCGGTATTTCACGAATGGAAAATCATGTGTTTCACCTTATGACTTATTGCAATAATGGTGATAAAATGGTAATAATGATGATGAAAAGATGGTAATAAGGGTTATAATTGTATTTTTAATGAGATGATGATGATGATGATGATGATGATGATTGATGATGATGATGATGATGATGATGATGATGATGATGATGATGATAATGATAATAATAATGATAATAATAATGATTAGAATAACTATGATAATGAAGGTGATGACGATGATGATGATGACGATAAAGATGGTGATAATGATAATAACAATAATAATAGTAACAGTAATAATGATAATATTAATAATAATGATGATGACGATATTGATGTTGACGATAACAAAAAAAAACAACAACGATAGTGGTATCACTCCCACTACTACTATTACTGTTAACGATGATGATAATAATGATATTAACAATAATAACGGAAATGACAATCATTATGATAAGTAAACAAACAATGATAATAATGGAAATGATAATGATAATAATAATTATTCATTACAAAATAAACACTAATAACAATAATGATAATGCTAGTTGGAATAATGGTCGTATCAATGATGATAATGACCATAACGTTAAACAACAACAAAAACAACAAACAAGTCCAGCAAATCGATTAAACAAAACAATGGCAGAAAAAAACTCGTAACAGTGATGATAATAACCATAATGTTAAGCAACAACAATAACAACAACAGGTTCAGTAAACCAATTAAACAAAACAATGGAAGAAAACAAAAAAACAAAATACAAAAACAAAAAAAACAACAACAAAAAAACAAAGACAAAACGGCAAAAATCTTTGGCACAATATCCCTGGCGCCAAACACGAAGTAAACAACAGACGGAGAAATGCCTCAATTTCTCTCTCTCTCTCTCTCTCTCTGCATCTATCTTTCTGTCTCTTTCTCTGTTTTTCTTTCTCTCTCTCTCCCTCTGTCCTAATTACTTCTCACTGTCTTTCTTCTTTCCGTTCCTTTCCTTTAATTTTCTCTCTCTCTTCTCTCTTCCTTCTCTTTCCCTCTTCTCTCTCTCTCTCTCTCTCTCTCTCTCTTCTCTCTCTCTCTCTCTCTCTCTCTCTCTCTCTCTCTCTCTCTCTCTCTCTTCTCTCTCTCTCTCTCTCTCTCTCGACCCCCCTTAACGACCTCTTCGCCCGCTGGCCTCGACATCAACAAGGAAATCGTTGCAAGCCACAGTTGCCTCTGAGCGCATTGCCGATTCTTCC